ACCCCCCCCCCCCCCTGAATCCCCTTTCTTTTTTTTGTCATGGAATTATTATTACTATATATGTGAATTATTCAACTAAATAATGAAATTACCAACCAAAAATTTCACATTTTCACACAAAAAGAAAACATCCATAGTAAGTAAATGGATCCAAATCAGCCAAAGATACAACCGTTTTATATTTGATGTACAAACAAAAAATTGATGTTTAATATACACACCGAACTAGGTAAATTTATTCAATACTACTACTTGTCAATATGTTGTTCTTGATCCCAAGTATGTTCAAATATTTTTGTCTATATATATCTGTGTGTGTGTTCCCAAAGTCATGTCCCCTCTCAATCTCAAATAAAAAATTATGGGGATCTCATTTTCTTTTTGTTCTTTTCTCATCATCGTCGTCGTCATCATCATCATCATCATCATCATCATCGACATGACCAAACCAAAATCCCCTTCATTTCTCACTTACTCCTACATATACGTTTCAGACTGACCGACTTGCCATATATAAAAACAAACGCAGCAGCAAAATGAACAAATTTACAATGACAAAAACCATACCCATTCTTCGCGATTTTGTTCTCTCCTTTTATTTGGGTTGATCGATCTCGTTCATTTGTCGTAGGAGGAAGGATCGCTCACCGATCTTGGTAACACTGAAGAACCTCCGTCTGATCATTCCAAAATAATTTATTTATTCATGGATTCTGAAGTAATTTCCAATAATTTGTATCTATTGTTCAAAATTAGAAACGAAATTTTAGAAGAATAAAATAAAATAAAAACAACTCAGGAGAATTTTCTGGGCGAGGATTTGTTACCACCTCGAGAGGAGTTGAATGATCTCTTGCAGTGTAAAATGGCGCTTTGGATTCCATCCTGTTGCTGCAGCAGCGAGTCGTCGCGCCTCCCCGATTTCTCCCCGGCCGTCGCTGTCGCTGTCGCTGTCGCCGTCCCCTCCCCCGCCTCGGTCGTCGTTGGTGGAGTTGCCGATGAAGATGACCGGCTCTTCCCGAGGTGCTTCTTCACTACTTTAAGTCCCGCCGGAATGTTGATGTTGATGCTCCCCAGCGGCTTCTGGCTCTTCGCCGGAGCTTCCGTTTTCTCCGCCGTAGATTTCACCGGAGCTCCCGATCCGAAGCTTAGCTGCCCGGAGAATCTCAGCTTCTCGCTGTACCGACGAGAAACGCGGATGTAAAGAGGTTTAACCTTCTTCATGTACTTCTGCATCATGACGAAACGTTTCTCGTCGGAAATCGCAGATTCGTTGCCGTTTTGCTTCTTCGAGGAGGATGACGAAGAAGTAGAAGAAGACGAGGACGATGAGTTTCTGGAGTTTTTGTCTCTGGTGACGAGAGAGATCATCGGAACCTCCTCTACTTTCAATTTCACCGCGAGCGTATTTTTTTGTTGCGGAGCCGGAGGAGATTGCTGTTTGTCGCCTTCGCCGTCACCGTCATCAGATCCGGAATTAGCTTCCGATTTCTCAGTGTTCGCATTGCTTGGTTTGAATTTCTTCAATCCCAGCACGAACACGCGAAATTTCGTGGCGGATTTCAGGAGCGACGCTGACAACTGCGCCACCGGAGCCTTGGCGGCGGCGTTCTGCTCAGTGGAGGTGGACGGCGGTTCGACCGCCACGAGACGTCCCTTGTAAAACACATCGTCTGAGGGAGAGAACTCGAGGTTCGTATCCGCTGCTCGGCCCTCGCCGCCAGAACACGAGGAGAGCGTGAACTTGATCTCCTCGCCGCCGTCCGTACCACCGAAATCCTCTCCTATTCCTCCGTCGGCGTCTCCGCCGCCCCTCGGCTCCTCCTCCTCGGAAACCTCGTGGTTGACTTCGCCATCCTCATCCTCCACTGGAACAGCGAACTCGAGGTCGAAGAACGGTCCCTCATCGTCGGCATCGTCGCCATCAGCGTCGTCCTCAGCGTCGGTATCAGATATGGAGGTGATAATGGTGGTGGTCCCGGCGGGGGACCGGATGCTAGAATCCGGCATGAAAGTGACGGCTCCATCACCACCAACGGGGCCGGCGCCGGCGCCTTTCCAGTAGTTGAGGAGTGTGAAAGCTTCCATGGTCGGTAGAGCCAGAATACTCACCTTCAAACGAAACGCTTCTTTGAAAATGGAATATTTCAAGGTCTCCGTTTGCGTTTCTGTTAGAGAGAGAGAGAGAGAGAGAGAGAGAGAGAGAGAGGAGAGAGAGAGGAGAGAGAGAGATTGGGTTACCGATGAAGAGTGTCGTTGAGCTTAATATTTATACTCAAGTCAAGCGTATATGTATCAATGTCTATGACAAATAAAAATAAAAATATAGTGTAACCGAAATCTAAATATTTAAATTTATAATCTCACAAATTATTATATCAACATTGAAATTGAAGTGTTAATCAATAATTCTATGATAACGCAATGCGTCTGCTAACTGCATAAATATCGTCGCATTAACTTCCGTATACATATATATATATATATATATCAAACAAAAAAAAGAAAAATAAATAAAAAACGTGGCAATGAGTTCCGGAGGGAGCAGGTCAGTCACGTGACTGCTTACTGAGTCAGACAGTCAGACCAAAAGGTCAGAGTCAGACCATTATTTCTCTGTACCCACACACACACACATATATATATATGCGCATTTTATATAATCCCAATTATGTTTGGATACTAAACTTGAGTCATAAAATTATGCATGTGAATATATATATATATATATATATATATATGTATAATGTATATAATCATCCGTCCGATTCAGTAAATATGGGCCCCAAGCCCACTTTGTAGGGTCCACTAATGCAAAACCTTGACCCGAAATTAGTAAAGAAAATGGGCCCTCGCACTATGCATATATGAATTTCGTGGTCGGTTGACGAATTACTCATTAATAGAATTGAGGGCATTACGGTTTATGATAAATAATGCAAGCTTTACAAACTGCTTTTTTTAGTATTCCAACAAATAAAAGACTGCTTATGCGTCATTTTTAGCTTAATTTTTTTAGTTTATAACAATTTTAATTAATTTAAAATGCCATGTTTTTATTGGATTGGTCATTCCCAATTATCCATGTGCAAGTAAATACTCGTTAGAAAGTTTTTTTTCCAAAAAAAAGGGTTTTTTTTTAACCCTTTGATATGTTTTGTTTGCTTTAGTTATTTCAAAAGGGCAAAGTTCTTTTTCAAAAGCAAGTCAAAGAAGCTAGAGATTAATGGCTTGATAGGCTTCCTGAAATTCAGCTTTAGTGGATTTCCCCCCTAAACTTTAAGTATTTTGGTTAACAAAAAAAAAATCACATCAATTATAAATATTGTAGCCAAATAATTTACTGGAAATGTATAATTAACTCTTACGTTAATATTTTCCTCCAAAACAGTGATTAATAACAATAAGACTACTGCTTCATGTTTTTTACTATGAAAAGCAGCAGATGAATCTTAAAAACTAATTACAACGGAGAAAGTGATGAAATTTATCTTTTTCTTCCAAAAAAAAAAATATCACGAGAGAATATATTCCCTCTTTATCTTTTTGCTGAGTGTTTTCACCGAACAGAAAATCTGATTTTGTTGGACTATTAGTTTGGCTCCAAGTAAGTAGCTCACAAGGATTTCTAGGCCTACAATCCCACCCTTCATCTAATCTCTATATCATACACATGAAAACAATAAAATAAATCCATATACTTAATTTTAATTCTATCATCAAACTCAATATCAGTTGGCTTAACTAGTAAAATATGAGATAAAAGAGGTGGACACTCGATTTGGTTATTTCGGTTATTACCCGAACCGATTGATATATATTCGAAGTGAACCGAACCAATTATAATTAAATAACCGTTTGGTTATAATGTTTTAAAATTCAAAATAAACCATAAACTGAATAAATCTAACTCGAATTAACCATACCGAATAATCGAATATAATCGTTTATCCACCTATATATCACCAATTAATTTATATTAATATATATTAAATCTTATTAGAAAAATTAGTGTAATAAAAATGTTTTATAACTATGATATATGACAAAGTGAAACATGTATATGTATTTTTTTCTTATTTAATCATTGTTTTAATGTTTTCAATTTAGATTTTGATTTTGTTGTATTATACATTAAGATGATCATGATGATATTTTATATTTTATCTTGTTTGAATATTTTTTATTATCAACGTTTCGAAACTTTTTTTTTAATTTTATAACCGAACTGAATCTTTATTTGGTTATAATTTGAAGTATATAAAATCGAACCAAACGAAACCAAAATCGAATCGAATAAAATTAAATAGTCATTTGGTTATAAATGTTTCAAACCCGAAATATTCGAACTCGAATTAACCGTGACCGATTAACTCGAACCGAACTATTTGTTGACTCCAAAACTCTTTTTCAAGCCAGATTCAAGTGGAGAAATACATTCAAGTGGAATTGTCCTTTCGAGATATAGCTGGGTAAAAGAAATTTCATGCACATTATAAAAATATCTACCACGAGGAGTGTGGTATATCATATCTCACTTAAATTTTATATAAAAGCGATGACAGTCCAATCCACGTGGCCATTATTGCACAGGAAAAAGTTTGGAATATAATACAAACTCCAAAATACAATTTACGAGACTATTTCACAACTTTCCTGTCATTTTTTTTGCCCCATTATGCTGCAAATGATCGAAGGAACGGTCCACCGTTTTCACAATTACTCTTTTGTACACTTCCAATAGAAAAAGGTGCCACATCTTTCTCTAAGTGATGCCCATATGCTGAGTTATCTTTTATATGGTACAGCTTTTACGTGTGACATGCAACGTATCCGATGTAGCAATACCATGCAAGAAACATTTCCACCCGACCTGTTTATATACAATATATATATATATATACAGAGCCGTCTCAAAATATTTTGAGGCCCCGTACAAAAATTAAATTAAATTATTAAAAATTTAAATTTTATTTAAAAAAATAAAAAATTTGAATATTGCATAGTAATATGTAAATAATATATAGATCATTTTAATGCATTATTTTATTGTTAAATATTGTTGTATTTTGATTTGTTTAAGATTAGATAAAAATATTATTTCAAATTATTTATTTTTATTATCAATAAATTTTAAAATAAATCAATAAAAATAAAGAATTTAGAATTCTTCCATCGTATGTTTAACATTATAAAAAATATAATAAAATAATATGTAATTTATATTTATGAAGAGTTATGGTAGTTTTTTTATTTGTTATATAATGTAATTAAATATCAATATTTTTATAAAATTTATAAACTTTTAATTAAAAATTATGGGGCCCTTTAATTGGTGAGGCCTTGTGCGAATGCACCTTTCACACACTCTATAAGATGGCTCTGTATATATATATATATATATTGTTGTGAACCATCGGTCTTGATTAGTCACATAACTTGCATTGTGTATCAATAGATGATTGAGCGTTATATGCCATGCCATATATCCATCTTTATAGATAGGTTTATATGTCAAATTATTTTTAAAAAATAGAATGAATATTAAGCGGGCTTGAAGAGGGTCTTATTATCGGCCCGTTAGCATTCATTGCGAAATATATATATTCGAATCAGTCTTATTATCGGCCCATATAAAAACGCCTTTTTATTCTTTTTAACACTTGAAAATATATATATTTTTAAATAATTATCATTAACTAAGGTACTTGACAATTCGCATCAAATATGGATAGAATTGATGTATCGTTTTAGTAAATTTTCCCTAAATCTGCATATTAAGAGACATTAAAGGGAGTACAGAAAACATAACCATATATATATTATATATAGATATATTTCCCTGTATAATTTTTTTTTTACCATTAATAGCGTGGGTTCAATCCATTTAGATGAAATATATAAAGAAAAGATAACCTTATACGTAAAAATGTTTACCATGTATGGAATTGCCTTTCATGTCTTGCAGGCCCAACGTTGAAATTTTGAACTGTGTCTACGACGTCGTATTCAATCGCGTTACACACAACGCTTCTTTAACGGAGCCGTTAGTCATAGATTTTTTCTTCACCAGGGCGGAGACTCGGAGATTAATTAGCATGATATATTAATATTAACTGCTGAGGTTGAAATGTAACGGCCGTTTCTCGTCCGTGCCAAAGATGTTCTGCTTTTTCTAATTTTCTTTTTTCAAAGTGGACACGGACGGTTACCTGCTCGAGGTCCGGACCAACCAATGGTCGAGATCGAGTTTCAGAAATCAACGGCTGAGATTGGATCTACAGTACACTCCCCCCTATTTAGAGGCTATCGATCTTCTACTTCTCTTCTTCCTCGCTTCAACTTTGTTTCTCTTCCATTTCTGAACGAGAAAAAGGCTAGTGCTTTTGCTGAAGGTTTACAGAAGGTTTATTCCATGGCGGAGGAGCATAAGCATGAGGAATCGACTGCTGAGTCGATCATGGAGAAGATTGCTGAGAAGATCCGCGGACACGACGATGGGTCCTCGTCGTCCTCCGATTCCGATGATGAGAAGAAATCTTCGCCTTCGTCCCTTAAGGCGAAGATTTACCGCCTGTTCGGAAGGGAGAAGCCTGTTCACAGCGTTCTCGGTGGTGGAAAACGTATGGATCTCTCTTTTACTGTTCTTCAGTTTCTGATCATTTCTTCTGTTTCCTGTTTTTGTTTGGGCCTGATCTTCGAGTCCATATCGGGTCAGGATATCTTCTCTGATGGTTATTGTTTATCCGATTAGCGGATTTAGTTCATTTGTGTCTGGATCTGTTTGGATGAACGGAATCTATTGGTAGCGAGCTGATTTGAAGTCTAGATTTCACTGTGTACTGATTTCAACTCGGGATTCTCATAACTGAGCTGTTCAAGTTGTGAATTTGGTTTTTGATCGAGCGTTTGCTGAACCTATTCCCTTTTACTCCTCGCAAAGTTTGAGTATCGGGAAGGTCTGTAAACGTAGTTATTTGATGGAATGCATTTTTTTATTTCTTTATTGATTTCGTGCTGTTTTCCTTCTGAGAGGATTTGAAAATTTCCGCCGTGTAGGATCGCAGTCTGATCTGCGTATTACTTGATTGGCCATCTTCTCTGATGCGAGTTCTTGTTGAATGTGTAGCTGCCGACATTTTTCTGTGGAGGAACAAGAAGGTATCAGGTGGAGCGCTAGGTGTGGCAACAGCTGCCTGGGTCTTATTTGAGCTACTTGAATATCACCTTCTCACGCTTGTTTGCCACAGCTCGATCTTCGCTCTTGCAGTACTCTTCTTGTGGTCTAACGCCAGTACCTTCATTCACAAGTAAGGCTTTGGATTCGCCTTTTATTGCTCGATGAGTAGTGATGCCCATGTATCCACTGTGTGGTTAGCCGATATTTTTTCGTTTTTCAGGACACCTCCTCGTATCCCTCATGTTCACATCCCGGAAGAACCCGTTATCCAGCTTGCTTCCGGGCTAAGGTTCGAGGTCAACCGTGGTTTTACTGCTCTGAGGGATATCGCATCAGGAAGAGACCTCAAGAAATTTCTCGTGGTATGTTGTGCCCCGTTATGTCTGGCTTGAACCGTTTGATCTCGTTCAAGTTTCCTAGTTCATTCCACTGGCTAACACACTCAGCGCTTGAATTTGCTTATTAGGTGATTTCCGGGTTGTGGGTTCTGTCGATACTTGGTAGCTGCTGCAACTTCGTGACGTTGTTCTATATCGGTAATTCAATCCTTCATCCACTTTTTCATGGCATCTCTTCAAATAGAGTCCCCATGTTCCCATAAAGTGATAGCTGGCATCTGTTTCTTTCAGCGACTGTACTTCTCTTCACCGTCCCTGTGCTCTATGAAAAGTATGAAGACCAAGTAGACGCCTTTGGTGAAAAGGCGATGAAGGAGATTAAGAAGCAATATGCAGTGCTCGACGAGAAGGTATTGAGCAAGGTCATGAGCAAGATCCCCAGGGGAGCCCTGACCAAGAAGAAGGATTAGACTCTTGTCTGTAAGTTTTCTGATCAGCCCCGATTGCCCATGATGAATTGCGGTTTAGCAGCGTCGTCTCGACCGTTATTGTGGAATATTTTGGTAAAGATAACCCTTTTTTTGTCTCGTATCTCTTGTTATGTCGGCTTTAATCGGGTTTTTTTCCAAATTTTTAGCCGTATATGGATGATATAGTTGATTAATGTCTTCGTGTTCGTCATTTCTGCTTTTGATTATTGTGTTTTGGAAGAGCATGAGAAGTAGCTTTTGGTCTCTCTCTGAATCTATAAAAGAGTTCATCATATATACGTGGGGCCTCCATGTCTGGAAGGAATTTCCCGCTTGAGATTTATCGAAGCGATTATATAAAATGGGAAACACGATTATTAACAAGGTTCACCATCTATGGATATACACCTCCCTAATCTCTAATCTTTATTCTGCAAATCTTATTAGGAAAATCCCAACCTGGCTGTGAAATTTGGCATTTTTTATTATCATCACATGAAATAGGTTAACTGCTCTTTCTTCCTGGAACCGCCTTCTCCGTACAGATCGTTCCACTGCTTCAGCTCCGCCATTATCGAACCTTCCGCCGCAAAACTAGCCGCAACCTACATCCACAGTTAGATTCTACGTTATAACCGTATCGATTCATATACATGTGTGTGTGTGTGTTACCTGAGTCTTAGCCTCCTTGAAGTCTGGCATGCTCAATGGGCGGAGAGTGATAACTCTTTCC